TGTTCCATGTTCCATGTTCCATGTGCCATGTGCCATGTTCCATGTTCCATGTGCCATTTTCCATGTTCCATGTGCCATGTTCCATGTTCCATGTTAAATTTTCAATGTTCCATGTTCCATGTTCCATGTTCCATGTTCCATGTGCCATGTTCCATGTTCCATGTGCCATGTTCCATGTTCCATGTGCCATGTGCCATTTTCCATGTTCCATGTGCTATGTGCCATGTTCCATGTGCCATGTGCCATTTTCCATGTTCCATGTGCCATGTTCCATGTGCCATGTTCCATGTGCCATGTTCCATGTTCCATGTGCCATGTGCCATTTTCCATGTTCCATGTGCCATGTTCCATGTGCCATGTGCCATGTTCCATGTTCCATGTTCCATGTTCCATGTGCCATGTGCCATGTGCCATGTTCCATGTGCCATGTTCCATGTGCCATGTGCCATGTTCCATGTGCCATGTGCCATGTTCCATGTTCCATGTTCCATGTGCCATGTGCCATGTGCCATGTGCCATGTGCCATGTGCCATGTGCCATGTTCCATGTGCCATGTTCCATGTTCCATGTTCCATGTGCCATGTTCCATGTTCCATGTTCCATGTTCCATGTTAAATGTTCAATGTTCCATGTTCCATGTTCCATGTTCCATGTTCCATGTTCCATGTTCCATGTTCCATGTTCCATGTTCCATGTTCCATGTGCCATGTGCCATGTTCCATGTGCCATGTGCCATGTTCCATGTTCCATGTGCCATGTTCCATGTGCCATGTGCCATGTGCCATGTTCCATGTTCCATGTGCCATGTTCCATGTTCCATGTGCCATGTGCCATTTTCCATGTTCCATGTGCTATGTTCCATGTGCCATGTGCCATTTTCCATGTTCCATGTGCCATGTTCCATGTGCCATGTTCCATGTGCCATGTTCCATGTTCCATGTGCCATGTGCCATTTTCCATGTTCCATGTGCCATGTTCCATGTGCCATGTGCCATGTTCCATGTTCCATGTTCCATGTTCCATGTGCCATGTGCCATGTGCCATGTTCCATGTGCCATGTTCCATGTGCCATGTGCCATGTTCCATGTGCCATGTGCCATGTTCCATGTTCCATGTTCCATGTGCCATGTGCCATGTGCCATGTTCCATGTGCCATGTGCCATGTTCCATGTTCCATGTTCCATGTGCCATGTGCCATGTGCCATGTGCCATGTGCCATGTGCCATGTGCCATGTTCCATGTGCCATGTGCCATGTGCCATGTGCCATGTGCCATGTGCCATGTGCCATGTGCCATGTGCCATGTGCCATGTGCCATGTGCCATGTTCCATGTGCCATGTTCCATGTGCCATGTTCCATGTTCCATGTTCCATGTTCCATGTTCCATGTGCCATGTTCCATGTTCCATGTTCCATGTTCCATGTGCCATGTGCCATGTGCCATGTGCCATGTGCCATGTGCCATGTTCCATGTGCCATGTTCCATGTTCCATGTTCCATGTTCCATGTTCCATGTTCCATGTGCCATGTTCCATGTGCCATGTTCCATGTTCCATGTTCCATGTTCCATGTGCCATGTTCCATGTTCCATGTGCCATGTGCCATGTTCCATGTGCCATGTGCCATGTGCCATGTGCCATGTTCCATGTGCCATGTGCCATGTGCCATGTTCCATGTTCCATGTTCCATGTGCCATGTGCCATGTTCCATGTGCCATGTGCCATGTTCCATGTGCCATGTTCCATGTGCCATGTTCCATGTTCCATGTTCCATGTGCCATGTTCCATGTTCCATGTGCCATGTTCCATGTGCCATGTGCCATGTTCCATGTGCCATGTGCCATGTGCCATGTGCCATGTGCCATGTGCCATGTGCCATGTTCCATGTTCCATGTTCCATGTTCCATGTTCCATGTTCCATGTTCCATGTGCCATGTGCCATGTTCCATGTTCCATGTGCCATTTTCCATGTTCCATGTGCCATGTTCCATGTTCCATGTTAAATTTTCAATGTTCCATGTTCCATGTTCCATGTTCCATGTTCCATGTGCCATGTTCCATGTTCCATGTGCCATGTTCCATGTTCCATGTGCCATGTGCCATTTTCCATGTTCCATGTGCTATGTGCCATGTTCCATGTGCCATGTGCCATTTTCCATGTTCCATGTGCCATGTTCCATGTGCCATGTTCCATGTGCCATGTTCCATGTTCCATGTGCCATGTGCCATTTTCCATGTTCCATGTGCCATGTTCCATGTGCCATGTGCCATGTTCCATGTTCCATGTTCCATGTTCCATGTGCCATGTGCCATGTGCCATGTTCCATGTGCCATGTTCCATGTGCCATGTGCCATGTTCCATGTGCCATGTGCCATGTTCCATGTTCCATGTTCCATGTGCCATGTGCCATGTGCCATGTGCCATGTGCCATGTGCCATGTGCCATGTTCCATGTGCCATGTTCCATGTTCCATGTGCCATGTTCCATGTTCCATGTTCCATGTTCCATGTTAAATGTTCAATGTTCCATGTTCCATGTTCCATGTTCCATGTTCCATGTTCCATGTTCCATGTTCCATGTTCCATGTTCCATGTTCCATGTGCCATGTGCCATGTTCCATGTGCCATGTTCCATGTTCCATGTGCCATGTTCCATGTGCCATGTGCCATGTGCCATGTTCCATGTTCCATGTGCCATGTTCCATGTTCCATGTGCCATGTGCCATTTTCCATGTTCCATGTGCTATGTGCCATGTTCCATGTGCCATGTGCCATTTTCCATGTTCCATGTGCCATGTTCCATGTGCCATGTTCCATGTTCCATGTGCCATGTGCCATTTTCCATGTTCCATGTGCCATGTTCCATGTGCCATGTGCCATGTGCCATGTTCCATGTGCCATGTGCCATGTTCCATGTGCCATGTTCCATGTTCCATGTGCCATGTTCCATGTGCCATGTTCCATGTGCCATGTGCCATGTGCCATGTGCCATGTGCCATGTGCCATGTGCCATGTGCCATGTGCCATGTGCCATGTTCCATGTTCCATGTTCCATGTGCCATGTTCCATGTTCCATGTTCCATGTGCCATGTGCCATGTGCCATGTGCCATGTGCCATGTTCCATGTGCCATGTTCCATGTTCCATGTTCCATGTTCCATGTGCCATGTTCCATGTTCCATGTGCCATGTGCCATGTTCCATGTGCCATGTGCCATGTTCCATGTTCCATGTTCCATTTGCCATGTGCCATGTTCCATGTTCCATGTGCCATGTGCCATGTGCCATGTGCCATGTGCCATGTGCCATGTTCCATGTGCCATGTGCCATGTGCCATGTTCCATGTTCCATGTGCCATTTTCCATGTTCCATGTTCCATGTGCCATGTGCCATGTGCCATGTTCCATGTTCCATGTTCCATGTGCCATGTGCCATGTTCCATGTGCCATGTTCAATGTTCCATGTGCCATGTTCCATGTTCCATGTGCCATGTGCCATGTGCCATGTTCCATGTGCCATGTGCCATGTTCCATGTTCCATGTTCCATGTGCCATGTGCCATGTGCCATGTTCCATGTTCCATGTGCCATTTTCCATGTTCCATGTGCCATGTTCCATGTTCCATGTTCCATGTTCCATGTTCCATGTTAAATGTTCAATGTGCCATGTGCCATGTGCCATGTGCCATGTGCCATGTGCCATGTGCCATGTTCCATGTGCCATGTGCCATGTTCCATGTGCCATGTTCCATGTTCCATGTGCCATGTTCCATGTGCCATGTGCCATGTTCCATGTGCCATGTTCCATGTTCCATGTTCCATGTTAAATGTTCAATGTGCCATGTGCCATGTGCCATGTGCCATGTGCCATGTTCCATGTTCCATGTTCCATGTTCCATGTGCCATGTTCCATGTTCCATGTTCCATGTGCCATGTGCCATGTGCCATGTGCCATGTGCCATGTGCCATGTTCCATGTGCCATGTTCCATGTTCCATGTTCCATGTTCCATGTTCCATGTTCCATGTTCCATGTGCCATGTGCCATGTGCCATGTTCCATGTTCCATGTTCCATGTTCCATGTGCCATGTTCCATGTTCCATGTTCCATGTGCCATGTGCCATGTGCCATGTGCCATGTGCCATGTGCCATGTTCCATGTGCCATGTTCCATGTTCCATGTTCCATGTTCCATGTTCCATGTTCCATGTTCCATGTGCCATGTTCCATGTGCCATGTTCCATGTTCCATGTGCCATGTTCCATGTTCCATGTTCCATGTTCCATGTTCCATGTTCCATGTTCCATGTTCCATGTTCCATGTTCCATGTTCCATGTTCCATGTTCCATGTTCCATGTTCCATGTTCCATGTTCCATGTGCCATGTTCCATGTGCCATGTGCCATGTGCCATGTGCCATGTGCCATGTGCGAGGAGGCATTTATCCCCACCGGCCCCAACAGCTCAAAAATTCGAAATTTTCACTTTTCTTAAAACAACTAGGGTAAATATTAATCTTCGAAAAAAAACTAATTTTTATAGATAAAGCTAAAAATAGAAAAACTTAAGTAGAGTAATTTTTTGAACTCATTAAAATACTGCTTAAAACATTAATTACTTTTTAAAGAATACTTTTTTTTCGGTGTCTCTGAGGAACTTTGAACTGACGTCACTCGACTCCTAGTGCGTAACTCCCGCTCTCTCAGGCATCTCGCTCCGACCCACTCTACCCGTCTCTCTTTGTCCGCCCACACTTATTCCGTTTTAGTGCTGTAGTGGAATTCCCGGCTCCATTTTCATTCAGCTGGCTGCTGGCGCAGAGTTGAATTAACGGCCAGCTGGAAGGCTTTCATTCATGGACGGCCACCTTCCAGGATGCCAATTAGTTTGGTGCGTATTCCAGGCTGCGCAGGAGGGAGAAAAAACCGTTACAATAGCAGGCGACGGAAATGACTTTACTTGAAAAACTGTCACTAAAACTTATTCTACTCCTGAGTTTCAATTGAACAGATACAGGTTTCGAGATTGTTTCTCCTTTATATTTTCTATTGGAATTTATAATTTTACTACTATCGCAAAATGGTGACTTTTGGTTGTGTCGCTAAACTTTTGCGCAGCTTCGAGTGCTGTGGGAATTCGTGGGTGAAAGCCGTCAATCCCGGGTGGTACGAGGCCCGAGAGATTCCCAAGACCCTTCTGATCCAGAAGGTGCAACAGGTGGCCCAGGCGACCAGGGCGATTCGCCAGCGACCCCAAACCGCGGAGCCGCCAAAGAAGACCAGCAAGCCAAGGCGCCAGCCCTATCTCTAAGTTAAAAAAAGACACCCATGAAAAAGATTTTACTGGTAAGTATTTTTTTTAAATTATGCCAAGAAATGAACACCGTTTTCAATTGAATATTTAAATGACCACAAAAATTTACTGCATATATTTAGGAAACATAAATTTAAAAAAAGGCAACAAAAAAGTTTATAAAATCCAGGTCTGTTTTAATAAATGTGAAGTTGGAGAATTAAATTCTAGTTAAACACTAAACAGTTAAACTTTTTGAACATTCCAATTATTTTCTTTGTGCAAATAGTATAAATTATTTTAAATTTATCCTGAACATTGTGTATTGTGTTTTAATGCAATTTAACAGAACTAAGCAGAATTTTAATATTTATAATTATTATTTATTTAATTTGCAGTTTAAAATGTTTATTCAGAGTATTGGTTAATGAGCCCCAAATTCAAATTTCGTGCTAGTGTTGATTAATCCCCGATTTCCCCACAGTGTTGCCTCGCCACCGTTATCGATTTCGGCATTTCGGCTCGCCCGACGAACGGTCACACCGAGTCGGTGCCGTTTTTGCTTCGCGAGCAGGTGGTGTTGTCCAATCAGAATCGCCGTCGACGGCACGAATAAAAAATTCCAATAGAATAGCCGAGGGCGATTATTTATGTGTGTTAATGTTTAATGTTAAATGCAAAATTACGCGTCGCCCACGCGAATTCGAGTCCGAATCCGATTGTTCAGTGCAAACACACACAAGTGAATATAATATGTAAGCGAAAGGCAAGAAGCCAGCAACAAAGCGCCAGTGATAAGCGCAATAATATAAATGCAATATAGTATAAATTCAACGTGAAAAGAAATCTCGCCAGCCAAAGAAAAGCAAAAAAAAAACAAAAAGCAGACTCGGCGACAAATGGAAATAAAGTAAAATGAAGGAGAGGAGAGATAGAAATCGTAATGTGTAAGCGGGACCAGAGCGTATGAAAAAAGCGAAGAAAAAACGTCGGAGCGAAGATTAAATAAATTTACAAGTGTGTTTTGTATTTGACCAGCTTTTGTGATTGTTGTTGTTTTTGTGGAGGCTGAAAGAAAAGCGGAATAACAACAACAGCGTTTTTACATGCGATTGTGTGCGTGTGTGTTGGTGTGTTTTCGGTGAGCAACTATTTCCAGTGACGAGCGCGTGACACGATCTGTAGTCGCCTGATCTCTCAATAAGGAGTGTAATAAAAGCCGCCGTGACTCACGTAGCCACCTCTAACGGCCACCGAGATGCGGAAGCTGAAAAACATATTCATGAATGGCAATTATGTGCCGTGCGCTGCGGCAAGTTTTACCTTCGATTCCGAGCTGTGGAAAAAAGAAACAAAACTGCGCGTACGATTTTCCACTTTGGAAGTCGTGACGTTTTCCCATGCATAACGTACATATTTGTGCGTATGTATGCACGGTTTGTGGTGGGGGCTCTCTTTTTCGCTCGCTTGCTCGCTGGCTTGTGTGCGAGTGTGCGTGCGTACATACGTCATGGCAACTCCGGTAAAACGCAAATAAGGGGCAGCGAAAAGCCAATTGCCGTTGAGTGGTCTAATTGGACACCTTGCGCATTACTTGTTTATACTATTTACCATTTGGCGACCCGTTATCAATTGCAGGTGCTTTCTCCTGTAAACACGACTGCGAGAGTGTGAGTGAGTGTGTGCGTGCGTGCGACCTCGACAAGTTTTTCTTTTCTTTTGTCCCCACACACATGCAATTACACAGAGAAAATATGGGTCTTAATGATAAGGAATGTTGATCATTTTTCTTGAGACAATCTCTTCGGTTCACATTCGGTTCGAATTTTGAGAATTCTTTGATAGAGATGTTTTTAGCACCCCCGGAATAAGATTATTTCCATGAAATACATGTGTAATAGTGATAAAAATGTAGATTTTATTCCTTTGTCTCTAATTTTCTTGATATTTTGAAATTCTTGGTTACCCAAAACAGTTCGTCGATAGAAGTATGGTTTGATAGTCTTATTTTGATATTTGTTCTTCTATATTCGGAGGATGCCACAGAAATCTCTTACGGTAGGCACCTATTGTTATTCGAATTTACGTTTTTAAAAATATTATGTTTAGGTGTATCTGCGTGTAGTTGTAATTTTCACAAGGTTTGTTGTAGGTTTCCTGTGAAATTCCTTGACTCCTTGGAGCCCCAGCACACGCACACAAACTGTTGCTGCGCCCCCGCACACAAACACACATGCAAATGATAGTGCCTTCTCCGTCTACCCTTTGGCAATCGATGGGGAACTGGCGACTGTCTCTCCTCTCGCATGTTTGCTTAGCTCTATCGCCCCCTGCTTCTGGCTCCGCTCCACTACCCACTAGTCACCCGCCCCCACTCCCATCCGCCCCCTCTCTTTCCGTCTGCTTTTCTGTCTGGCTTTGGCTGCTGTGTAAGTCCAAGTTCTCTAGCCCCCTTCTTGTTTTTGTTGTTTTGTCTTTCTGCTTTCGGTTTTTTCGGTTCTCGCCTTGCCTCTTTCGCTTGCCTCATTTATTTCACTTTTGTCGTTTCTTTTCGGCCTTTCGCCTGCTGTTGTTTTTATGTTTTTTAATCATTTTCGCCTCTCTGATTTGTTAAACAAAAAGAGCCAAAACAACTGGGCTAGCTACTGCTAGTTATCAGCAAAATTGGCAAGATACCCTACTCTTTGTACCGAAAGCAGTTGCAAAACATTGTCGCTTGAAGTGGTATTCCTTGCAATGAGATTAAATGTCAAATGTGACTGAGCTTCTCCCATAATTTTTAAACATTTACTTGAGAGCCACAGAAAGGTCTTGGGCCGAAATTTGTATAAATGTACATACACTTGCCAGAAAAAGTATGCGTACAAATATTTTCCGCAACTTTAGAGCTTAAAAAAACGTCTTAAAAAAATTCGTAAAAATGTCATTTTAATTTTAACATTTAGTACACATATTAAGCTTTAATTTGACGTAACTTATTAATTTCTAGCACCTTTACTTTTCCTAATATAAATAAAAATGTACAAATTGGCCGGATTTCGCATCAGAAAAAGTATGCGTACAAATGCATATGGTATTAGAAAAAGCCATATTTTGGGCAAAGTACGTCGAGTTTAGTACGGAGTTTGATACCCTTTATGTTTTATAACTTCAGTCTACATATTCGTCATCGATTGGACCAATGTCCTTGCATCCATCGCCGTTATTTGATTCCATTCCTCGACATTGAGTTTTTTCAGGATATCCTTGGATGCAAGGGTGTGAAGGCGAGTCCTGCCCTCCAGGACATCACAAAAATGCTTTACGGGATTGATATATACTATTTTGATGGCGAATGTAGCTGTTTTACACATAAAAGCTTTGTTTTGTGGGCGCAATGTTTAGGTTCGTTGTCCTCTTGGTACCAAAAGTCCTTTTCGAGTCCCACTTTCAGGACGCTTTAATTTCTTGTCTTAAAGTGCATAAAACCACCAACAAAATGAGGTATCGTTTATTAAAATCGGTCAACAACTTAACGAGAAATGGCTAGCCATATAACCAAACAAACAACTGCTTTGGCGTAATGCACGAATTTCATACGAATTTCAAAAAAAACTAACCTTCTACCTAAATAAGAAAGTTTTTATACCCATTTCTCGTTAAGTTGTTGACCGATTTTAATAAACGATACCTCATTTTGTTGGTTGTTTTATGCACTTTAAGACAAAAAATTAAAGCGTCCTGAAAGTGGGACTCGAAAAGGACTTTTGGTACCAAGAGGACAACGAACCTAAGCATTGCGCCCACAAAACAAAGCTTTTATGTGTAAAACAGCTACATTCGCCATCAAAATAGTATATATCAATCCCGTAAAGCATTTTTGTGATGTCCTGGAGGGCAGGACTCGCCTTCACACCCTTGCATCCAAGGATATCCTGAAAAAACTCAATGTCGAGGAATGGAATCAAATAACGGCGATGGATGCAAGGACATTGGTCCAATCGATGACGAATATGTAGACTGAAGTTATAAAACATAAAGGGTATCAAACTCCGTACTAAACTCGACGTACTTTGCCCAAAATATGGCTTTTTCTAATACCATATGCATTTGTACGCATACTTTTTCTGATGCGAAATCCGGCCAATTTGTACATTTTTTTTTATATTAGGAAAAGTAAGGGTGCTAGAAATTAATAAGTTACGTCAAATTAAAGCTTAATATGTGTACTAAATGTTAAAATTAAAATGACATTTTTACGAATTTTTTTAAAGACGTTTTTTAAGCTCTAAAGTTGCGGAAAATATTTGTACGCATACTTTTTCTGGCAAGTGTACGTCAGCATTGCAGGCGAATTTAGCTGGAAAAAATGTTGCTTTACTTCTAGGTAAAGTTTTATGCAAATCATAGGAAAATAGTTTCAAGATAGTGTTTTTTTATTATGGCTTATGATTCACATTAAATTTTAAGTGAATGTATTGTTTGGGAAAACCAAATTATTTTGAAACATGACATTACAAAAAGGTATTTTAAAAATCTGTACGGAAACACCATACTTTAATATTAAATTATTGGGGTAAAAAATTCTTCCATTACTTTAATCCAGTTTAATATAATAAAATACACTTTTAAGATATTTGTAAGCCAACATTTGTTTAGGGATTGTGGGAAAGCTAGCTATTTCTGAAGCACCTAACGTTAGGTAGAAATTTTAGTTAAAGTTTTGATCAAGTAATTCAACTGTATGGATTAATAGATTGATTTTCATATAATTATCCTTAAACATTAGAAAATATAAATATTTAAATATAATAGTACACTTCAATTTGGAGTGCTAGCGGTACAACTCTTTGAGTGCATGATGTGTGACACCCCCTGGATTTTCAGCGGAAGCAGCACCTTTGACCCGGTGACGTCTTTTGCATCCCCACCACAGAGACTTTCTCGCTATCCCCGTCTCTATCTCCGTGTCGCTCCCTCTCGCTCTGCGCTGGAAGTGTTTTGCTGCCTGGAAGCGAGGTCGCAGCCTCTCCGGCTTC